CAGACTCTGAAAGTAGCTTCTAGTAAGAAGCATCAGAAGCAGTCTTGGTCAGAAGCCAAGAGAAGATCTGACAGTGTTCAAAAGTCAGAAACCTCAACTTCTGATAGGCAGAAGAATGCCCAAAAGGGAAAAGAGAGGTATGATAAGAAGAAGATTCAATGCTACTGTTGTAAAAAGTTTGGCCATTTTGCTGCTGATTGTTGGTCAAACAAGGAAATGAAAACAAAATAAGAAAACGTAGCCAGAAGAGATTCTGATGATGAATCTGTGCTATTATGACTTTTGAATCTGATTATACAAATTTAACAGACTAGTGGTATATGGACATTGGCTGCTCAAGTCGTCTTACTTGAAATAAGAAATGGCTCATTGACTTTGACTCTGGAAAGAGGAAAAAGACCAGATGTGCTGATGATAAATACCTTAATGTTGAAGGTATGGGAAATTTCAGGGTCGTTATGAACAATAGGAAAACAACAGTGATTCAGAATGTGTGGTATGTACCTGGCATGAAAAGCAATCAGACGAGTGTAGAGAAACTAATTGAGAAGGGATTTTTAGTTACCGTGAAGGACAATCTTTTGAAACTGTATGACTGTAATATGAAGCTGATTATGAAGTCAGAACAGGGAAGGAATATAACATTCAAGGTGAATGTTAGAACCGCAGACTCTGAATGCCTTAGTGCAATAAGAGTTGTGATAGAAAGTGAGTTGTGCCACATAAGATTTGATCATCTGAATTTCAAAAGCTTAGGGCATATGAGTTCAAAGAAGCTGGTACATGGAATTCCTACAATTAAGATGCCTGAGAAGTCATGCAAAGTGTGCATGGAAGTAAAGCAACCAAGATCACCATTTGCGTCAGAAGTAGCTTCAAGAGCAAAGCATGATTTAGTGTATTCTGATGTGTGTGGTCCATCTCTAGTTGAATTGATTGGTGGGAACAAATACTTCATGTCATTTGTTGATGAAATCACAAGGATGAAATAGGTATCCCTTATAAATTTTAAACAAAAGGTGTTTTTTAAATTCAAGAAATTCAGAATGAAGACTGAGAATCAGAGTGGTCAGACTCTAAAGATTCTCAGAACCGATGGGGGAGGTGAGTATAACTCCACTGAGTTCAAAAAGTTCTATGAGGAGAATGGAATTGAGCATGAGGTTACTGCTCATTATACTCCTCAACACAATGGTCTTGCTGAGAGAAGAAATCTTACTTTACTTGATATGATGAGAAACACGTTGAAGGAGAAGAAGCTTCCTCACACCTTATGGGGAGAAACTGTTGCCACCGCAACATATGTGCTCAACAAATGTCCAACGAAGAAGCTGAAGGAAATAGTTCCTATTCAGAAGTGGACTGTAGACAAGCAAGGTGTTAGCCATCTGAAGGTGTTTTGTTCTGTATGTTACAAACACATTCCAGAAGCCATAAGACAGAAGCTGGATGATAGAAGCAAAGTGATGTTACTGGTGGGGTACCATAGTATAGGTGAGCCTTATTGTCTAGAAACTAAAAAAGTTTAATTTAATAGAGACATCATTGTAACGAAATCAGAAGCTTGGGTTTGGAATAAGTCTTAATCCAACTTTGGTGTGAGTCCTTTTGAAGAAAAGTTCGAATTAGAAGTTTTTGAAGACGAGTCAGAAGTTGGAGAAGATTCTGAAGCTGAAGTAGACTCTGAAGGCGAGTCTGACTCTAATGGTGATTTTGACTATAAAGGAGACTCAGAAGGTGAAGATGATTCTGATCCATATTCAGATGGTGATTCAGATTATGGTGGTGATTCAGATTCTGGGAATATTCCAGACTTTGAAGGTGGTCAAGGTTCTGAAGAAGGTCAACCTTTTGAAGCAATAGCTTCTGAAGGAGAAGCTTCTAAAGATAGAACTTCTTGGGTTCCAACATCCGAGGAAGATTCTGAACGAGGTCAGAGATCATAGAGAGTTAGAAATATCTCAAGAAGATTTTCAGAGTATGACATGCTGCGAGATACTGAAATAGACTCTAAGGGAGAGGTTATTCAGTGTGCCATGGTAGTAGACTCTGAACTAGTAAGTACAAAAGACGCCCTCAAGAATAACTTTTGGCTGAAGGCCTGAAAGAAGAGCTTGCGGCTATTGAAAGAAACAAGACTTGGAAGTTGACTAAGCTTTTAAAGGACAAGAAAGTCATCAACGTCATATGGATTTTCAAGGTGAAGCTAAAGCCAGATGGATCAATTGGCAAACACAAAGCGAGGTTAGTAGCAAAGGGATTTCTACAAAAACCTGGGTTGGATTATTTTGAAGTGTTTACACCTGTAGCGAGACATAAAACAATCAGATTGGTGTTTGCAATAGCTACTAACAAAAATTGGCCTCTGCAGTGAGGTATATGTGTCACAACCTCCTGAATTTGTTAAAAAGAATCAGGAAGGGATGGTGTACAGATTAAATAAAGCTTTGTAAGGATTAAAGCAAGCGCCCAGAGCTTGGAATCTGAAGATTGATTCATTTTTCAAGGAGCAGGGGTTTCAAAAATGTGAGATGGAGTATAATGTTTATGTTCATCATACCTCTGAAGGTAATATGATTCTGGTGTGTCTGTATGTTGATGACATATTTCTGATAAGGAGTTTTGAACAATAGATAACTAAGTTTAAGAAGGTGCTGATGAATGAGTTTGAAATGACTGACCTCGAGAAAATGATATATTTTCTAGGGATGGAGTTTATGTACTTTGGAAAGGGTATCATTTTACATCAGCTGAAGTATGAACTTGAGCTTCTGAAGAGATTTAAGCTGCATAATTGTAAGGATGCTGCCACACATTCAGAAACCAATCATAAATTGGATTTTGATTATGAAGGTGAGGATATGGATGTTACAACCTTCAAACAGTTGGTTGGTTCTATGAGGTATCTGTGTAATACCAGACCTGATATCTGCTATGCAGTTGGAACAGTTAGTAGGTTCATGAGTAAACCCAAGTAGTCTCATTACCAAGCTGCTGTCAGGATTCTTAGGTATATCAAGGGAACTCTGAAGTATGGAGTGCTATTCCTTCTAGAAGAAAGACTAATTCAAAGCTGATGACTTACTCAAACTCTGATTGGTGTGGAGATAAAGTTGACAGGAGAAGCACTTATGGATACTTGTTTAAGCTATTGGGAAGTCCTATTTCTTGGTGTTCCAAGAAACAACCTGTTGTTGAACTATCAACGTGTGAAACTGAGTACATTGCAGGTGCTATAGCTGCATGTCAAGCTGTATGACTTCTGAATTTACTGCAGGATCTGAAGATCAAAGTAAACAAGCCTCTGAAGCTGATGTTTGATAACAAGTATGCAATTAATCTTGCAAAGAACCCAGTTCTGCACGGGAGAAGCAAACATATTGAGACAAAGTATCATTTTCTAAGAAGTCAAGTCCATAATGGAGTGCAAGAAGTTGTGCATTGTAGCATCCAAAAGCAGCTGACAGATGTTCTGACAAAAGCGATCATGACAGATCAATTTCTCCACTTAAGGGATGTAATTGGTGTTGTTAGTTTTGATTAGGAAATCCTAAATTAAGAAATGATGTTGAAGGGTAATTTGGTATTTTAGTATGTTGTCTATGTGGCCATAGTATTAGAGTATAAATAAACTAGTGATAGCTGTCATTTATTTTATCACCATCTTTCTTACAGCTTTTGTAACCATCATTACAAAACAATAAATATTTTCTCATTTCTTTTGTTTTCATCACCATATGCACTAATCGGTGTTACACTCTCTCTCCCACATATATTACTTATGAGTTATAAAGCTAACAACACATAAATTATATATAGCAAAATTTATACTAGAGAACACTCAAAGGATATACTCGTGATTTGAATTTGAATAAAACCCAAATATTATTAGAGTATAAAAATAGCAAAATGAATATTTTATATATATATATATATATATATATATATATATATATATATATATATATATATATATATATATATATATATATATATATATATATATATATATATATATATATATATATATATATATATATATATATATATATATATATATATATATATATATATATATATATATTCCAAATACAAAGAAAGGTGATTGGTTCATGTCAACAGAAGGATGCCACGAGTTTAAGCAATCTTGACATGGGACCAATACATGTCACATCTATCTATTAATAACCAATACATGTATAAATATTTAAGCATTCTAATTAAACAGATATTTCAAAAGCAATAATATTATATGAACTTGCACAAGTATGGTTTGGCGCATCATCATAAATAGTAAAGCAGAAAAAGAAAGTGCAAGTCTTTATCTTCATATACTAATTTGTTGCTTATACGACTAAGATGTTCATTCTCTTGGCGCCAATTCTGGACTAGCTGAAATCCTCACGCCAAGGAAATTTAAATAGTTCTCAATGGAGTATGACCATCCACCAGAATGTTACAAAATATCTACTTTAACCCTTAGGTATAGTAGCAATAAATTATAATAAATATAGTTTCACTATCACCCTACATGACAGCGACACACGTCCATATTGATAATAATTTGAATATATTAAATATAATCATAAATATTAAAGTCGTGTCAATATCATGTATGACATCATTATTTTTCAGAAGAGTCGATACTACATACTATGGTATATTTCTGAGGTTATTAATTGTGATTCAAATAGTAGATTGATGTTGAAGAACACAATTCACAAGCAAGCTAGCTAGCATTCCTTTTGTCTCCCGCAACATGGTAGAAAGAGCAGTGGCACAGATTAACATGTTTGTGTATCAATACATTCACAATCTACAGATATGATCACATGCTCATTTATTTCTAAAATACATGTCAGCATTAATAATAATATTAGGATTAATACAAAATAACACAAAAAATTAATAATTTATGACATACAGAAGGATCCAACATCAATATTTCTCTCATTTTTCCTCACTAATGGAATAATTAAAATTTAGAGCAAGTAGCAAAGTTAACCAAAATATGAAATATTATCATCACTTGAAATTCTGGTATAGTTGTTGGGATCTCTCTGGTGATAGTATATAGAAGAAGAGGAATTAGAGGTTGTAGGAGGAAGAGGAGGAGGAGGAGGCGGCGGCGGTGGAGCAGCAATTGAAACAGCAGCAGAATTAGAAGGGAGCATTGGAACATGATGAGAAGAAGCTGGTAGCATATTCATATTCATATTCATATTATTCATGTTATTCATGTTGATGTTAGCTGCTTCTCTTAATTTGTATTTAAGTATTTCACCTCTTAATACATTGAGTTCACTTTGTAAAGATTGAACCTGTTGTTGCAATGCTGAAATTGCACCCATGCATCCATAAACTGGATCTCTTAGTCTCACATTTGCTTCATAAACAAGACTATTTGCTGCATCTGCTCTAGAACATTCTGCTACCTCCTATAAAAATAAAAATTCACATCAATGATTATGATCATGAACTATATATTTTTGAATTATAATAATATATGTGTTTAGTTGATTACCATTAGCATCTTGGAGACATTGCTGGCACCAAAAACTTTGTGAACAGAAGCAAATTTCTGAGGTTCATGAGGGGAGAAATAGGGAGAAAAAGGACATTCTTGAGCACATCTTCTTCTTAAAAGCTTACATGCTGCACAAGGGGTTATAGTATTTAGGGTTCCTGGTGGACCTAACATATGTCTTCTTCCCACCTGAGGACAAGAATTTGAAACATGATGATGATGATGATCTCCTTCCCTTTTGATCTTCTTTCCTATCTCATCAAATCTCTCCCTGCCATCAAATTTAATTTTTATATATATCAACTCATTCACAAACAAATTAAGTATCTAATAATCAAGCTTTTAGAAAATCTTCATTTGCGACAAAACGGTATCGTCAGTTGCCAATATTGATACCGTTATTCTTCATTTTAATGATAAACAATAAATTTTATGGTTAATTCACATTGGGACAACCGCAATATCAGCGTCGTGATACCGACCGAAATTGCGAAAGCCTGAGTTACCGTTATTTAAAACATTGCTAATAATTATTAGTGTTCCAAAAGAACAAAATCAAAGTTTTGCTATAAAGCACTAATATAATATATATTTTTGATATAAACTAGAATTGAGACTAAAGTTAAGAGTTAAAAGAGATTTTATATGTGTTACCTTTCTCTGGACATTCAGGCATGCCCTCTGTGAGTATGAAGCAGGAGTCACTTATTATGGAGAGAAGAAAAGAGAGTGAGAAAGAGAGAGTTGCTTGCTATAGAGTCACACAAGGTAAGTAGAAGAAGAAAGAAAGAAAAATAGAGGTAGAAAATAAGTGTACTTAAAAGGCAAGGTATATACAAAGGATATAAATGTCCATGCACCTACATTTTATAATGTATAAAACAAATATTGACAGAGAGAAATACTAGAAAGAAAGCGTGTGAGAATTTTAAGAGTCATATGATATGTTAGAAAAAAAAAAGACAATTATTATTTTTTCTTGTTTTGAACTTTTCTGGTTTATCATAGGTACGAGGATTTCATATTATTGACTACTATTATGAAATTAGCCTAATAACTATAATAACTTTATATGAACAAAAAGTATATATATATTGTTCATGGAGAATATATATATCATTGTTTGCATAAAAGCCAGCTCAATGAATGGTTACTCACGTGTGAGTTCTTAAATGTGTTTGACTTTAGCCATGCATGTGGTTCTTGCTTCATATTAAGGTAGCTGGAGGACAGGTCTACCATTTTTGCAGTCTCTATACTTATAAATTTATTATTATTATTGGCAATAAATTGAGTATGTTTGTGTTAATATTGTTTATTCTTATTCAAGTAATAGTCATTAATTCACAAATATAAAACCAACTTAAATATGTTGTATATTATCAAAATAACAAAGATTAGCCACACACTTATTAATTTCTTTAAGATGATAATTGTGGAATTGCTTAGAAAGTTTAAAGCCTGGTGCATGATTAGTATTATGTTACTGGAACAAGGAAAAAGATTGGACATGTTTTAAGATGTTAATAGTGTGATGGATTATAGAGGTATATGTTGATTTAGGACATCTCACCCAAGCTTTCATCATGTGTAAAAAATCATTTTCACAATTAAGAATCTTAACACAGTTGCTTGATTTCAACAACTCTCTAAATTTCACTCCTTATAAATAGATGATGAGTAAGACATTTAAGTACTGTCTAGTTCACACAAATATTCCATCTTGAACTACACCTTAACTTAATACAAAGAAACCAAAAACAACCTTTCAATCTCACACATACATATATAAATATATATCATGATGATGATGGTGATGTAAAGTCTAGAATCGTTCATTCTATATGTTGATATCATGTGTGATGGAAGAGATCCACGTGGAAGTAATTGAAATTGTACTTTATCAATGAAAAGAACCTAAACTAGATTATGCAGAGATTAGTACAATACAAATCAAGTTGGCACTGATAATTGTCCTTATATACATAATAATCTGAGTTAATCAGTTTTGTTGGAATGAGAGAAATTAGAATTTTGAAAAGTGTTGTATCAAAGTGGGTGGTGAAAGAGAGGGGAATAGAAGAGTGTATTGTATATTAATTTATTAATAATGAATGAAATATGATTATGTATATTAATATAAATAAAAGAGAACGCTTAGAGTGTAAGGGAGTGGCACCATCCATTCTTGTTTGACCCGTAATTTGAGCCTTACAATTCGCTGCCAACCCAACTTCACAATACTTAAAAACTCCATCTTATACTAATTCTAAATCTATGTATATGAGGGCACCAAAACCCAGAAAGAATCCACTACTGCCACTTCTACTACATTAGCATGTATGGCCAATTTGTGCTGCATTGGTTGGTTAGGAAAATTCTTTCGAAAAAATTCGATGTTATATGAAGTTAGAATATCAATATTTACTTGTTAAAGTTATGATTTAGAATCATAAAAAGATGAATAATTGGATCTTTTTAATATATATCTCACAATTTCGTTCACAACTCTGAATGAGATAAATTGTAGATATTAGTAATAATTCATATTTTATTATATTACTTTCTTAAGCCCATAAGTTTGTTAGAGGGTATTTTAGTATTTATCTTATTCTAGTAACCCTAGTTTTAGTTTATAAATAGGGTGACAATCATTGTAACTCTTAATCCTGTTTCTTCTGCCGTCATTCTCTTTAATAGAATATTTCCCTATTTTCATCATTTATTCTATCTTTGCACCAACAATTGGTATCTAGAGCTCCGGTTCAGATTCATTGGGAAACACGGGAAACACGAGTGAACGTGAGGTCTTGTGTGTTTGATTTTGTTTCTCAGATTCTTGTTGAATCTTGAACAAAATCTGATCAGAATTTTTTAATTCTGTGGGTTGGGAAACACTGTGTGAGAAAACTCTGAGTGTATTGTGCAAAGTAGAAGATGAACGGAAACGGCAACATGAACACCAAACTTCCAGTATTTGACGGTAAAAATTGGAATCGTTGGATGATCCAAATGCGTGTACTGTTTGGTGCTCAAGATGTTCTGGATCTTGTCACTGATGGTTATGTTCCAGTAGCAGCAGATGCAACTGATGAACAGAAAAACGCGCAGAAGGAAGTAAGGAAGAAGGATCAGAGAGCATTGTTCTTCATTCATCAATGTGTGGATGTAAACGTGTTTGAGAAGATTGCAGACTCTACAACAGCAAAGGCCGCATGGGACACTCTGGTGAGATGTTATGGTGGTGACGCATCAGTGAAGAAGGTGAAGCTTCAGTCCTTGAGAAAGCAATATGAGAATCTCAACATGAAGAATAATGAGAAAGTTTCTGAATACATCTCCAGAGTGATTCTGATCACTAATGAGATGAAGGCATGTGGAGAAACTCTTTCTGAAGAAACAATCATGGAGAAAGTGTTGAGATCCCTTACTCCTCAATTTGATTACATTGTGGTAGCAATAGAACATTCCAAAGATCTGAGCACAATGAGAATTGAAGAGTTGCAGAGCAGTTTAGAAGCGCAAGAGTTGCGTTTGACTGAGAGAACTTCTGAAAGGGAAGTAGAGCAGCAGGCTCTGAAAGCAACTTCTGATAGGAGGTATCAGAAGCAGTCAGAAGCCAAGAGAAGATCTGATGGTGGTCAGAAGTCAGAAACCTCAACCTCTGATAGACAAAAGAATGCTCAGAAGGGAAAAGAGAAGTATGACAAGAAGAAGATCCAATGTTACTGTTGTAAGAAGTTTGGTCACTTTGCTAGAGATTGTTGGTCAAACAAGGAGAAGAAATCAGAAGAAGCAAATATAGCCAGAAGTTCTGATGACGAATCTGTGCTGTTGATGGCCTCTGAATCTGATAATGTGGATCTGACAGACTGGTGGTATATGGACACTGGCTGTTCAAATCATCTTACTGGAAACAAGAAATGGCTGGTTGACTTTGACTCTGAAAAGAGAACAAAGATCAGATGTGCTGATGACAAATATCTTAATGCAGAAGGTATGGGAAATGTCAGAGTGACTTTGAACAATGGGAAAACAGCATTGATTCAGAACGTGTGGTATGTACCTGGCATCAGAAGCAATCTGATGAGTGTGGGACAATTAATTGAGAAAGGTTTTTCAGTTACCATGAAGGATAATCTTCTAAAGCTGTATGACTGCAATCAGAAGTTGATTATGGAGTCAGAACAGGGAAGGAATAGAACATTCAAGGTGAATGTCAGAACTGCAGACTCAGAATGTCTTAGTGCAACATGTACTGAGAAGGAGAGTGAGCTGTGGCACAGAAGATTTGGTCATTTGAATTTCAGAAGCTTACAACATTTGAATTCAAAGAAGCTGGTACATGGAATTCCTGCAATTAAGAAGCCTGAAAAGTCATGCAAAGTTTGCATGGAAGGAAAACAACCAAGATTGCCATTTGCATCAGAAGTTGTTCCAAGAGCAAAACATGCCTTGGGAGTTGTACATTCTGATGTGTGTGGTCCATTTCCAATAGCATCAATTGGAGGGAATAAATACTTTGTGTTATTTGTTGATGAATTCACAAGAATGACATGGGTATCCCTTATTAAATTTAAACATGAGGTGTTTGATGAATTCAAGAAGTTCAGAATGAAGGCTGAGAATCAGAGTGGTCAGAAGTTGAAGATTCTTAGAACTGATGGTGGAGGTGAGTATAACTCCAAAGAGTTCCAGAAGTTCTGTGAGGAGAATGGAATTGAGCATGAGGTTACTGCTCCTTATACCCCTCAACACAATGGTCTTGCTGAAAGAAGAAACCGTACTTTGCTTGATATGGTGAGAAGCATGCTAAAGGAGAAGAAGCTTCCTCAGAAGCTCTGGGGAGAAGCTGTTGCCACTGCAACGTATGTACTCAACAGATGTCCTACGAAGAAGTTGAAGGAAATAGTTCCTATGCAGAAGTGGACTGGAGACAAGCAAAGTGTTAGTCATCTGAAGGTATTTGGTTCTGTTTGCTATAAACATGTTCCAAAAGCCAGAAGACAGAAGCTGGATGATAGAAGCAAAGTGATGATTCTGATAGGGTACCACAGTACAGGTGCATACAAGCTCTATTGTCCAGAAACCAATAAAATTGAATTCAGCAGAGATGTGATTGTGAAGGAATCAGAAGTTTGGAATTGGGATAAGTCTCAATCTGATTCTGATGTTAGAACCTCTGAAGAAAGGCCAGAGTTAAGAATTTCTGAAGTTGAAGTAAACCCTGACATTGACTCTGACTCTGATACTGATTCAAACTCTGAAGAAGACTCAGAAGATGAAGGTGACTCTGATGACCCAGACTCTGATGATTCAGACTCTGATGGCAATCCAGATCTTGGTGGCAATTCAGACTCTGGAAATATGCCAGACTCTGAAGATGGTCAAAGCTCTGGAGGTCAATCATCTGAAGCTAGAAACTCTGAAGCTCAAGACTCTGAACAAGTTCAGAGACCACAAAGAATCAGAAGCGTTCCCAGAAGATTTGCAGAATTTGACATGCTGCAAGACACTGAAGTAGACTCTGAAGGAGAAGTTATTCAGTGTGCCATGTTAGTAGACTCTGAACCTATAAGTACAGAGGAGGCTCTTAAGCAGAAGCTCTGGCTGAAGGCCATGAAAGAAGAACTTGATGCTATAGAGAGAAACAAGACTTGGAAGCTGA